AGAAAGGCAAACATGAGTGGGCTGGCATCCTACGTGCGGTCGCCACGGGCAACAGTTGGACCCGCTGCCGCATGCAGGAGTGTAACCTTTCGCAGGACAGCCGCTGTCGCAGATGCCAGCATGTGCTCGAGTCAGACCTTCACAGAGCTTGGGAGTGCCCCAAGAATGCAGATTTTTGCAAGGTCTCAGATTTCGTCGTTCGCAGAGCCAGAGCAGATGCAGAGCACAATCCTAGTTTTTGGATCAGAGGGCTGACGCCCAGTTCTTGGACCGCCGTCCCCCCGCCACCCGAAGTTGCTGATTTCCGTAGGTTGGGTGATGACTTGGGTGAGGCCGTTGTGAACGGTTTTGTTTTCGGTGGTGGGGACGCGAGCGGCGGCCAGGATACTCAAGATCCTATGCTTCGTAGAGTTGCCTGGTCTTGGGTGGTGCTGAGAGGGCTCGACGAGGACGGACAGTACTCGATCGAGAGCCTTCGCACGCACGCCGCTGGATTTGGCAACATCCCAGGGTCGAGGCAGTCGGTCAACCGAGGCGAGGTTTTGTGCTTGGTTGAGTTCGTGCGTGCGGTGTTTCCGACTGCCTCGGCCTATTTTGTCACAGATTCTTCGTATGTTGTTAACAACCTTGCCAAGTTAAGGGCAGGGATCAATCCACAGTCTCACCTCGACGTGTGGCACCAGCTCAGAGCTCTCATTCAGACGCACCCCGAACGGGGATTGGTCGTAGTCAAGGTCGAGAGTCACAGGAGTGCCGAGCACGTCTCTGCCGCAGGTGCGGATCAGCTGCGCTACCTTGTCAACGAAGTTGCAGACCGTATCGCCAGCTCGTGGGCAGATAATTTGCGTGCGCCAGAGAAGGACCGAGACAGCAGGTCCTTCGCCCAGGGGATTGCTTTCCAGGTTCGGGACCACCTCGGGCACACTCTTTTGTCTGCGATTGAGGCGGACGGGGACAGGGCCCCACGAGAAAAGGTTGTGCAGCGTCATTTCAAGGAGTATAAGATCCAGTTGGATCTAACCGCTCACACGCCTGAGGAGGGTAGGAGGCACCGCATCCAATGTAAAGTTTGTGGAGGCTCGGCCCCCCGCTCCCTGGCTCGGCAGTTCCTGAGCACTCCTTGCCACGCAGGGTTGTTCAATGGAGTGGTTATGATACCACAAGGCGCTGTGGTAAATGGTCAAAGGTTGCGCCCGTCCCACATGTTAGGTTACAGCAAAGCATGGGGCACCACAGTTTGTTTCACGTGTGGTTTCATTGCGGCCATGGCGGTTCGCAATTTGAAGCATCAATGTGCTGGTCACCTCAGTGACTATGGCGCCAGGATGCTGAAGAAGGTGGCCAAGGGCCAACCTCCTGGCAGAAGCCAGTGGGCCCGCCAGAATCAGGTCGTCAAGACCCGCAGGCGGAAGTGAGTGTACAGTTTGGATTGCCAGTTTTTTTTTTTTTTTTTTTTTTTTTTTTTTTTTTTAAAAAAAAAAAAAAAAAAAAAAAAAAAAAAAAAAAAAAAAAAAAAAAAAAAAAAAAAAAAAAAACGAGAGAGATCGGTCAGAGCAGGGGAGGTCCGATGAACTTCCCCCAGCCCCCCCAGGAGGCCAAAATGTGGCCAACCTCTATATGGATGATGGTAAAAAATAATAATGAGACGAAACGCATTAAATGATAAGAATAATGGTGTTCAGATAATAAGTGGATCCATTAAGACATATGTGCATGAATTTGACTTTCTCGCTGAGGCCTGTTTGAACGTTCTGACACCTGGCGACAATCCCCGTCCAGAGGAGGCGGGAGGTAGGAGAGGGAGGGGTAACCCCCTCCCCGATGGGGAAGAAGGAAGATGCAAGATGGAACGCTCTCAACCACTCGCGCCCGGAGGGCTGGTGGGATTCTTCCTCGCGGTCTCCCTCGTCCTCGCACGCCCTCTTCTCAATCGCCCATTGATCGCCGATGGGGGTATGATAGCTCACCCCGCCCAGGGGCGTGCGAATTCAACATCGGGGGCCCATCGCCGATCTACCCGCGATGTATCGCCGATGCAAGCTCGATGCTCCCCCCTGGGCTGGTCCCAGTCTGAATTTTCCAACGGAAAGGGCGGAGGCCCAAACTACGCCTGTCACTGGTGAGGAAGGCAAGGCTTGCCATATTCCTGGATGTGGGCGCCTCAGTCGCCAATGCTCGAACTATCCCAGCCTTCCACCTCTTCCCTGGCCCCGAAGCGGTAACAAAAAACAGCAACGGCAGGCAGACGTTCGAAATGTCTGGGTCCACGAGTTTGTTTTCCGCTTCAGTGCCCCAGGACCCGCCAGATCGATGCGATCATAGCATCGAAAGCCTCCTCCTCCTCCTTCCTCCTCCTCGTTCTGCTCCCCGCTCCCCCCCCCTCCTCCTCGTTTCTCCTCCTCCTCCTCCTCCTCCTCCTCCTCCTCCTCCTCCTCCTCCTCCTCCTCCTCCTCCTCCTCCTCCCCTCGTGCCCCTCCTCCTCTTCCTCTTCCTCCTCCTCCTCCTCCTCCTCTTCGTCCTCCTCCTCCTCCTCCTCCTCCTCCTTTTCCTCATCGTCATCATCGCCATCAAAACAACAGCATCATCATCGGCATCAGCATCAGATGCACCATCATCATCAGCATCATCAACATCATCATCATCATCATCATCATCATCATCATCATAATCATCATAATCAGCATCACCATCATCATCATCATCATCATCACCATCATCATCATCATCACCATCATCATCATCATTTCCATTATCATCCTCATCCTCATCCTCATCATCCTCGTCATCATCATCATAAACCTTATCATCATCACCATCATCATCAGCAGCATCCTCAGCATCACCGTCATCATTACCAGTCAGCATCAGTATCAACATCAGCTTCAGCATCATCCTCAGCCTCATCCTCATCCTCATCCGTCTCCTTATCAGGTCGAACTTTGGAGGCACATGGATCGGCGGCAGCGACTGCGGCCGCTGCCGCGCAGGCAGACCAAGGTGCTTGGAGCAAGAGCCTCCTCCTCCTCTTCCTCCTCCTCCTCTTCCTCTCTGCTCCTCCCCCCCCTCCTCCTCCTCCTCCTCCTCCTCCTCCTCCTCCTCCTCCTCCTCCTCCTCCTCCTCCCTCCTCCTCCTCCTCCTCCTCCTCCTCCTCCCTCCCCTCCTCCTCCTCCTCCTCCTCCTCCTCCTCCTCCTCGTGCCCCTCCTCCTCCCTCCTCCTCCCCTCCTCCTCCTCCTCCTCCTCCTCCTCTCCTCCTCTCTCCCCTCTCCTCCCCCTCCTCCTCGCTCCTCCTCCTCGCTCCTCCTCCTCGCTCCTCCTCCTCCTCCTCCTCGTCCTCCTCCTCCTCCTCCTCCTCCTCCTCCCCTCCCCTCCTCCCCTCGCCCCTCCCCCCTCCTCCTCCTCCTCCTTCTCCTCCTCCTCCTCCTCCTCCTCCTCTTTCTCCTTCTCCTCCTCCTCCTCCTCCTCTTCCTCCTCCTCCTCCTCCCTTGCCGTCGTGATGCGTCCGCAGTCTGCGCGGGCTGTGCAGCGCTGGGCCGCTGCCACGCAAGCGCGGGCAACCCGCCAGGAAGAAGGGGAGGTTAATTTGAGTAGGGCGTGACAGTGCAATTCGGTTACACGTCGGAGCGACAATTCGCCAAAGTGACCGTCTGGTGCGGGCCCGCATGGGTCCACCTCCAGGACTGGCCTTCGCAATTTGACTTGCTCCCCCCACTGTCCCCGAAAGCAACGCACCGAAGATCATTACTGCCCTGGTTCGCTCTGACGTGCAACCGAAAAGTAGGCACGTCAATTCGAAAAGCAGCGTGCCAGCAGATGCACCACGGACGCCTCCTATTCTCCGATGACCCAGGGGACCCGCAACACCCTCGGCGGCAGTTGACCAGATTGACGACAAGCGTGTCCACATATTTTTTACACTCGGACGTTTTAATCGTAGGAATGCGAGGCCAGAGTTGCTACAACAGATCCGCCGCCTGGGGAACCGACCTTGCGGGGCCTCAGGAGGTGGTGGTTCTTGATATCGTTTGCCCCCATATGGGCCCCGAGAACATCAATCTCCGCCAACTCCTGGTGTCCAGGGGGATCGGCTCCCAAGGAGGTGGATATACATATGATACGCAGTCTATTAACATAGCTTATGTATATCAGATTACACACGCATATCGGAGAATTGCACCGAGTACATGTATGCGCATCCGAGGCAGGACGAATCCCAAAAATATATTAACTTGGGCTGATAACATTCTGGGATTATTGACCAGGGTTCATGTCCCCCCCAGAACATTATGAACTTGGGTTTTAATGTACCGGGACACATTGACTGAGGTTCATAATGTTCCCCCGGAACGTTATATAATTTTGTTTATAATGTTCCGGGCATATCGACTCCAAAAAGATATCAAATTGGGTTTATAATGTTCTGGGAATATTGAATTGGGTTAGTAATGTCTCGGGAATAAAGAACCCGGGTACGTTATTCTGGAATGCCGATAATGGAGGTTGAGGGGCGTCGCTTGTGCCATAGGCGGATATTCTGAATCCCGAGTCATGATTCCGGAATAATTATCCCCTTATTTCCCCCCAACCCCGCGCCTCCAAATTGGGATTCAGTATGCTAGAATATTGACCCTAGTTCGCGCTACCTTTAGAACATCATTAACTGAGGGTCGTAATGCTCTGGGAATTCTAAACTCAGGTTTATTATTCCGCCGGAATGATAATGATCCAGCGGAGGGGGGGCGCTTGAGAAGGAGATCGGGTTGGGATCAGCCCTGGTTTTTTTATGTCGGAGTATCGACCACAGATGCATTATTTCGGAGTGATAATGATCCAGGGAAGGGGAGGCCACCGATCCATCCACAGGCCAATAATCCAATGGGGATATCATCTGAACATAATGAGCCTAGGTTTATCATTCCTAGATAACAAACCACGGTCGACGAGGATTTCGGGGCCACCCTCAAAGGAGGTGCGAGGGAGGCAAGCAGCTCGGAGTCCTGAGGTCATCCACGAGCTGTGGACTCCACTGGGCGGCGCCTACAACGTGGACGGCGTCCTCAAGGTAGCGAGGGATTCGTGCAACTATGCACCTCTCCGACCCTGCTAGGTGGAGGGAGGGGGGGGCATGGGAAGAAGGAAGGGGAGTAGAAGGGGACTGTCTGGGGGAGATGCTGAAGACCCTTCCCTCCTTGGGCGAAAAGGGTGGGAGGGTGAGGAGGGAGGAGGCAGGACGGAGCCGAGAGCAGGAGGAGGCGGGGGGCGTTGAGCAGGGGGAGGCGCTTGAGTCGTGATCGCACGCCTGGCCTGACGCAGAACAAGTTGCACAGGATCGGGCACAGCCGGACCGAAGTATAAGATCGAGTTATATTCGGGGAGGGTGCCTTGATGTTCTTCGTGTTCGTTGGATGTTCTCGTGCACATTGGGGAGGTTATACCCTTGGATGCTCTACTTGTTCTGGCCGACGGAGGGTCTCATGCTCTTGACGGATGTCCTTTTGGCCTAAGTACGACTGTACTAAGCCATAGGTCTGCTCAAATCCGTTGAGTGCCCATGCTGCCCCCCGAGAGGCCTTCACAGCACAGGCTCGGGCGCTGCTCTGGGCGCCTGTAGCGCCCCCGCGCTGCAGGGGAAGAGGCGAGCACGGTCGGGCGCCCGTCGGCCACCGCGGCGTCGTCGTCGTCTTCGCCGTCACTGCCGCGTGCGGTCCCCGAAGCGCTGGCACGCCGAAGTCCGAGCGCTGTTCCGCATGCGCAGTGCACGGCGGGGCGCTCAGCCGCGATGTGGACACCCTCTTCGCGGCGCCTCGTCGGATCCGCAGGCTTCCGGTGCCAGCGTACGACCGCTGCCGTCGACTGTTTCACTGCTGCTGCTGATGCTGCTTCTCCTCCTCTTTCTCCAGGGCGAGCGCCTCGAATTGATGGTGTCGTGTGGCGCTGCCATGTCTCTCTGCGGGTGATGTGCCTTCAAGATCTGCCCTGGACTGGAAGTGAGTGCTCAGTTGGATGTGTCGCGCTGCGGGGGAGGGGGGGGGGCACCCAATACCGGTAGACTCGTAGCAGTCCATCGACATGTGGCAGTTGAGCCACAACACTCCTCCGCTGAACAGCAGAAGCGCCTCAGTAAACCAACGACACCCATGGGATTGGAGTCCGAGGATGAGGCTCTGAGCTTGAATGCGTACCTTAGGTCAGCCTGCGTGGGGCGACACCGCACCAGAGGTCCCGCGACACATAGGATCCCCTTTTGTCGAATCGTGGCGGAGAGGCGTCGACGGTTCTCGTCAGAGGACAGGCCGACCACGCCAGTCAAGAAGTAGCCAATAGGGTCGACTGCATCTTATATTTGTCAGAGGGTCAAGACGGGCATTTTGGCACACACAAAAGTACCATCGCGTGCGAGCAGTCTCACGACCTACCACAAGCAAAGCAAGCAAGCAAAGCCGAGCATCTGGGTAATGAGTGCACGCCTAACAGTTGGACAAAGAGGCAGGAAAGCGTAAGAGCAAGGAGAACAGGAGCGAGGAGGGGTGGAGCATATATATATATATATATATGTGTATATATATATAGCATATACATTGGCTCAGGTGTGTTGGGACACATTGTGCACTGATGATGCCCATTGTTGCCTTGGTCGTCCGCGCCTGCTCTTGAGAGCCAATATTGTCGGCGTCCCATCAGCATTGCTGGCAACTCGCTGATCTATGTGTGGCGATGTCCTTGAACAAATTGATTAGTCTACCCACAATATTTGCGGAAGTAGTTTTGCCCCTGCCTTGTCGAGAACACTTGCGATGTGGGCCTGAGAAATAACTGAGTGTGGGATTCCAAGAATGCGTCGCAAGCATTGGCAATGGAAAGCATCGAGCCTGCCACTGTCTGCTTTAAACAACCAGATAGAGTCCAATTAATTTGGGGGAGTTTCTGTGGAACTCACGTCATCCTCACCCCCGGCGCGAAGAGCACGAGTCCAGAGCGGCCTCCGGCACCGTTTCCGGACAGATCCGGTGGATCCGCTGGATCCGCTGGATCCGGTGACGAATCCCAAACCGGCGCCCTCGCTTGAGACATCCTCACAAAACCGGCCCCGGGGGAGGTGCCCAGAGGAGCCCAGAGCGGCCTCCGGCACCGTTTCCGGACAGATCCGGTGGATCCGCTGGATCCGCTGGATCCGGTGACGAATCCCAAACCGGCGCCCTCGCTTGAGACATCCTCACAAAACCGGCCCCGGGGGAGGTGCCCAGAGGAGCCCAGAGCGGCCTCCGGCACCGTTTCCGGACAGATCCGCTGGATCCGCTGGATCCGGTGACGAATCCCAAACCGGCGCCCTCGCTTGAGACATCCTCACAAAACCGGCCCCGGGGGAGGTGCCCAGAGGAGCCCAGAGCGGCCTCCGGCACCGTTTCCGGACAGATCCGATCCGCTGGATCCGCTGGATCCGGTGACGAATCCCAAACCGGCGCCCTCGCTTGAGACATCCTCACAAAACCGGCCCCGGGGGAGGTGCCCAGAGGACCCAGAGGGTCATCATAACTAATTTTTTAGTAGTTCTGGGATCAGTTCTAAAAATTTATCTACAAGATAAATATTATATTTCGGCTGGTAAGCTCTTGCGCCAACAACTAAATTTTAGGATCTCCTAATTTTTAGTAGCAGTTCCGCTAGAGACATCCTCACGAAATTTGACCCGCTGCGATCGAGTTACGGCGGATGCGAAGCAGATGCCGTCGAGACTGGGCGCGATCCAGTCGAGCCACGGGCACGGAAAACGAGCAGACGGGTCACGATCCCATGGAAACACGGTAGGGGACGGACTGGAGGAGGCGGGTAGAGAAGAGAAGAGGGGAGAGGAAATAAAGGGAGGAGGCAGATAGCCACAGCGGGCAAGGATCAGAGAGGTGGAGCGGAGGACGGAGATGAGAGAGGGAGGGGTAGACATGACAATCTTTCGCCCAAAGTTGATGCTTGGGTCATGGGTTCGGTGCTTGAAGAAATCTGCCCGTGCGAAAGTCGCACTTACAGCCATAGCACTAGGGTTACGGCTCCCCTCGGGCGAAAGCAATCAGGCGGTGCGCCCCTCGGGCGCAAAAAGTCAGGCGGCACGCTCCAGTGCGTAGTCTTCCCATTAATCCTGATTTCTCGTCCTCCGTATCCTTATCCTACGTTTCTTGTTCATCGTGATTTCGGTCATGTTCATCCTCTTCATCCTGGTGTTTCCCAACCCTCATCCTCCTTCTTCTTCTCCTCCTCCTCCTCCTCGTCATCCTCCTCCTCATTGCTTGTGGTCATCATCATGACTTGTTGTGCTTCCTCATAATCGTCCGTGCTTCCCCCCTCCTTCTCCTCGTTTTCCTCCTCCTCCTCCTCCTCCTCCTCCTCCTCTTCCTCCCACTCCTCCCCCTCCTCCCTTGGCAGCGCAGTAGAAGGCAGAAACGGCGCGCCTCAGGCGCGTCGCAGACGTGGGCCCAGACAGGGCCGACAAGCTAGCTGACAACTTCTGGCACGAAATCGGCCAGCACACAACTCCTATACTGGCGAATCAACTCACTATGGATCGTGTTTGGATGGCAACGCTTTGCACGACTGGCTGCGTCGCCGATGTTATCTTCGTCTGCATAACACCACTGGCTTCGGGGGTTGCCCCCCACCTCTACTGAGTCCTCGAGCGCGTGCAAGAAGAGATGGTGCTTGGGGTACATTCTCCACATCAAGGTCGAACGATCAGCCGAAAGTGCTGCCGACGAAAGTTCGGCGTACAGGCACACGCCCTGAGAACCTAACTTACGAACCCGTCCTTCAGACTCAACAGGTATCCAGTTTTCCATCGCACGGTACAGCTCAACAAATTTTGACACACATTGAAACCGCATGCGTCTGTGGGGGGTGTCTAACGGGAACAGCTTCTCCAACATAAAATGGGTGGCCTCTAACATTTTTCGAGATTCCGCTGCCTTCACCTTCAACTTAGGTGCGTTCCTGCCCTCGGCTTTGATCATTCCAAGCGTCAGCTGATTTATTGGCATCTCTATGCAACGTTCCTTGGCCCCTATTTTGATCATATCAAGGAGAATTGCCGACACCTCACGGTTCTTCGGCGACTCGGTGTTTGACGATGTGCCACCCAGATATTGCCAGAGCTCCCAGTAGACGTTGCCCAGAAGATAGAGGAGCACACCCAAGTCCCCTGCGTGCATCAAATCTACTGAGACAAACTCAAGCACAAATCCTGGCCAATCGAAGATCCCCGAGAGAAACCCGCCATCGTTGAGCGAGCGCCTGATGAAGTCAGCATGGGTGAGACGCTCACTTCTCCACGGTGCTTCCATGTGTGCACAGCGAAAGTCTCGGGATGTTTTGTTAGCACTGCACAGCCAGCACACGTTCTTGTCGACCCCCTCCCCGTTCCAACCTCTCATGTTGAATGCCTGCTTCATCCAAGCCCAGTCCCCCCTGACCTGAACAACGGCAGCGCGCGCATTCAATACTCCCCCTGCTCTGATGCGCCTGTCCATGTCGCCGCGAAATGGAGAGGCAGCGAACGATATCCCGTCGTGGCGCTGGCTGGGGAAAACGCCCGAAATAAACGTCTCGAGCGACCATTTCATGATTGACCAGACTCCTTCAAATGTGCATCGACCGCGGCACCCGCAGCAGCACGTGCGCCTCTAGGGCTGGAAACTTCTAGAATCTACCTAAATGAATTGCCCGACGGAAAACGCGATTACAAACCAGCCTGGACCCTCGGAATTACAGATTACAGCTGTAATCTGTAATTTGTTCTGTAATTTACTCTGGTGTTTATGAACTGTGTTTGGCTAGCTTGGGCCCTCGAAATTACAGATTACATCTGTAATATGTAATTTGTTCTGTAATTTACTCTGGTTGTTCTGGACTGTGTTTAGCCCTCGGAATCACAGATCCTAAGTGTAGTATGTAGTTGTATGTGTGTCCTTTCCCTTGTTGATTCTGAAATAAGTTTCGCTCTTGGTATTTCAAGCTATATATGTATTATGTGATGCTGAATTCAGAAATATCGATGCTCCCAGGATTGCGGATTGCATTTGTAATATTTGAATAGATTGCGTGATGGCGTGTGTGATGTTAGTGGGGTTACTTTCGTAGAACATCACGTGTAAATACATAGTATCACATGTGATTTGCCCCCCTGGAACCGCTTCGGGAATGCCACGAACCAGAACCGCTTGTGGTTGACCCCCGAAACTATGTTGTACACCATCAGGTAGAGAGAGTCGCGATGGGCGTACGGCGCTGAATCGCCCCATACTCCCATGCATAGGTACCTGTCTGCCAACGCGTCCACTCCGACGCGCGACCCCCACGAGGCCAAGGTGCGTTTCAGGTTCTCTTGGCTGCTGTCGAAACCGCTCCAACTACTATGGTTATCGGGGGAAACGAAACTATGAAGTACCCCGTGAGGTAGTAAGAATGATGCAAGTATTTTCAATTGTTTGTTTGCCTTGTGGTCCCACCCGTCCAAATATGCTTGATATATCTCTGGCAGCTCACACTCGCGGTCGAATTCCCGCATGACGCTCCTGTACCCTTTGCGGTACTTCGAGTTCATGCATTTCCCCCAGCGTTTCAGACTTGTCGGGCACTCTGTCGGGCAATCTGTCTCGAGTGAAACGGCGCCCTCGGCAACGTCCGTGGCAGCTAGCTTGCCATCGAAAAACTTCTTGCGCAAGAAAGAGCCAGTCTGCGTCTTCCCGTCGCGCAGCTGGCAAACCTTGCCCTGGCGGGCGGGCAAAGAACACACCGTTCGCAGCTGGGGTCGGGGTTCGACGTTTGGGATTAGACGTTTAGGAATCAATGTTTTGTCGGGCACGAGGTTTCCATGTGGGTTTGACGTGACTTTGCGACGACCCCCATTTGGACCCACAGCCTTCGAAAACTGAGCACTGGCAGTAGGCATCGCCTTGATGCGCTGACTAACGCCGCCATGCAAGACCATGGCATATGCGGTCACCCCCCCGCATAAGCAATCAGTGCAGAGCTCGGTCCAAAATTGCACTGATCATGATCCGTCACACATGCGCCAGCAGTGACGAAGCCGCGGCAAAACGAGAGGGGGCGACGGATCGCCCTTCTAGCACCTGCACCTGCGTGCCTCGCGCCCCAAAGCGGGCACTCGCACTACTGCCCGAGCGTCTGAGAGACAACCTCTCTCCCTCTCTCCCTTCCTCCCTATCCTCGCTCATTACCTCATTACGTTCCCTTACCTCCATCCTCCCCCTCGGCCCCGACTGTCGGGGGCGCCAGCTCCGGAGGCGCCGCCGCCTAGCTCATCCTCTCAATGTCGTCGAGGTTCTTGCGCTTCCAGTCGGCGTACATCTCCTCTCGGGGAGTGGGCGCATGCGAAGGGTTAGAAGGAGGGGAGGACGAGGAGAGACGGCACGGCACGGAGAGAGGGAAAGGTAAGGGGAGGAGCAAGTCGCGAGGTAGGAGGAGGGAGTAAGGGAGTGAGGGGGGAGGCGAGAGGGAGGAGACGGATGGGGAGGAGGAGGAGGAGACGAATGGGGAGGAGGAGGAGGAGGAGGAGGAAGAGGAGGAGGAGGAGGAGGAGGAGGAGGAGGAGGAGGAGGAGGAGGGGGGGGAGGAGGAGCAGCAGCAGCACCAGCAGCAGCAGCAGCTGTTGGAGCGCGAGGCGGAGAGGCAGGAGAAGGAGGAGGAAGAGCAGGCGGAGGAGGAGGAGGAGGTGAAAGATGAGGAGGGTGAGCACGAGGATGAGGAGCAGCAGCTGAAGCGGAAACAGCACGAGGCGGATGAGGAGGAGGAGGATAAGCAGTAGCGGCAGTAGTAGCAGCGGCAACTCTTCTTCCGCTTCCTCTTCTTCCTCGCCCTCCTTCTCCTCGGCACCCTCCCCCCTCCCCCTCATCCTTCTACCCTCCCTCCCCGCCACGTGTTCCGAGCTGGTTTTTCTGGCCGAGGCCAATAGCGAGGAAACTCCTCCTTCTCCCCCGCCCCCCCCCTTCCTTCCCCCCATCGGAGGAGGAGAAGGGGGGGGTATAGGGGGGCCAAGGATGGGAGGGTGATTTTGGTTGCACCTGCTAACGTTTAATATGTGCATCCGCACCGTTCAAAGGCACGTTGCAGAAGCACGTGATTTACTGGGTTGGGTTCCAAAAAGGTAAGGAAATCTAACATATGATAGCCCCCAGTCCTTCACGACCTTCGTCGCTGCACTGAGAGCGGCGGTCTTCGTCTTGACCTCCTCGGTGCTCGTGGTCCCGAACTCGGCCATGTCGCAGAAGGTCTTGGTGGGCGTGTAGTTGCCGACAATCGTGTTGTCCAGGGCCGCCTTCACCTCCTGGTGCTTTGTCATCAAGAACTCTTTGGTCTCGGCTGGGAACCCCTTCCGAATCAGTTTATCTCCGAGTGAAGGCACGTCCGCCAACTCCGCATTGATGGTCTTGGCCCACTGCTTCGTATCCTTGATCTCGACAAGCAGGAGCTCCTTGGCGGCCGCGAACTCCGCCTTCAACGGGTTGTCCTGCTTCTCCTTCTCCTTCTGGATTTCCTTCTCACGCTTCTCCTTATCCTTCTGCTCCTGCGTCTTCCTGCGCTTGTTCGGCTGCTGCTGGTCAGCTCCGCTCGAAGATGCTGACGTACCGTCTGCGAGGCCTGGAAGGGTGGAGCTGCGCATGGCGTCGGCGACCTGCTTGTGCTCGTCAGGATTCAGATCAGCCTTCGTCTGCACGGTCGTCTTCTCGTTCTTGCCGTCAGTGCGCTCCACCACATTCGCTGTCCAGCGATACTCTAGAATGCCCAGATCTGCAAACTGTTTCACATGATGAGGTCGAGATTCGAGGATGCCAGTGTAGATCGCTGCGTGCTCCTTCGACCCCGCGTGCAACGGGCCCGCCATCTGGACCTCGGTGATCCACTGCTCCGTCTCCTTGTTGCTGGTGCCGTGGTTCACCTCGCATGTCGTCTTGGCGGAGCTCTGGCCTTGCGATTGGTCGATCATGAAGCGGTGAATCCACATGCGCCTGGTCTTGTCGTCTTTCGACTGCGAGTACTTTGCATACAACCCAGGAGCTGTGGTCCTCATCGTTGTGCCGTAAGCCGAGACGATGCGCTTCATCTGTTCTGCAGTGAGGGCATTCTTGAGCTCGTCAGGTGTCATCTTGCTGATGTCCACGCCCTTCTTGGCCAGGTCGGCCTTGGCATCCTGGACCGCCTTCGGCACGGGCTTGGCAGCGAGCAGGGCGCTCTCCTCGGCAGACGCCTGTGAGCAATTCCTCCTCCTCCTCGCATTCCAGCCCTTTGCCTGTCACGCTTCTCCTCCTTCACCTCCTCCTCCTCGTCTTCCCTCCTCCTCCTCCATTCCTCCTCCTCCTCCTTCTCCTGCTCCTCCTCCCCCCCCTCCTCCTCCTCCTCCTCCTCCTCCTCCTCCTCCTCCAGAGGTGCCTCTGGCAGCGCGGGTGCAGCGTCGCTCTCCGCCTTGACCTCGGGCTCCACCTTGACTATGGGCTCCGACTTGATCTCCGCCTGGACCTCGGCCTTCACCTTGCGGGCAGCAGGTCTGCGCATGACTGCGAGGGGCTCACTGTCACTGTCCCGCAGCATGACCTTCTGTGAGTCCTCCAGCGTGGTCTGCACCATGCCCTTGTTGATCTTCTTGCTCGTCGCCGCGTGCTGGCCCTTGATCATGGCAGGGCTGCCAGCGTCGCTGGAAGAGCTAGCCAGGGCGCTGGCCATGGCGCTCTCCGCGGAGAACTTGTACGACTTGCGCTTGCCGCCCATGGCGAAGTAGATCGAGAGCCGTCGAAGGGGCTCACGCGATAAGAACGATGGCACCCGAATCTGGGTGACACAGAATCCTTGATAGCCAAAATGGCATTCTACGGTGCGAATGAAATCTGAAATTACAGCTGTGATCTGTAATTTCGTCTGTAATCTGTAATTTGATCTGTAATCTGTAATTGTGTTGAGTCGGGAAAAACAGTTTTTTCGTGTATATATATATATATATATATATATATATATGGTTTCATGGTTGTTTCAAGAAATTACAGATTACAGATTACAGATGAAACTACAGATTACAGACGAAATTACAGATTGAGCCGACATATCCTGGCACGGGAAAAAAAACACACACATCCCTGGAGGCCAGAATAAATCACCGGAAGCGGAGTATCCGGTACTTATTTCCCTTGGAACTCACAGGATACAGCGCTTTGCGAGCCAATCTAATGATTTTCGCTGAACTTCAGAGGTTGCTCGGTCGATCTCACAGAGAATCTCTCGGACTTATAAGCAGTAACCATGAGGGTGGGGAGGGATGGTGAGGCGAAGGAGGGCGAGCGAGGGTTGTTCGGAGGAGGGAACTGAGGAGGGGAGGACGATATTATGGAGAGGATACGATTGACCTTGAGACTGCTATGTCTAGCACACGCAGCCACGGCACTTTCAATCACGGGCTCTCGGACCGAAACGATGGGAACGGGTTCTTGCGGCTCGCGTTGGAGCTCGCTCCAGAATGATTCCGCTTGAGCCCTCTCTGGGGCCTAGGTGATTCATCCACCTGAATTGACGGCCCGCCTGGGCCTGCGCTGCTAGCGCTGCTACCTACATTGCCGCCCTCGATGAAGCTCTGCGCGAGCTTCTCGTCGGCTTCGAACTGCCGCACCTGCCTGACAGCGGAGTCCGTCTCGCTGCTGCTCTCGCCGTGCTTCTCGCCGTCGTCGCCGCGAGTGGCTGCGCCCTTCATATTGGACGGCTCGACCTCGGCATCGTCGCTGAGCATCTCAATGGGGTCGGCCTTGTCGCTGACGGACGACAGCTCTTCCACAGGATCTCGCTCTGGCGAGGGCGGCCGTTGTTCCTCGAGCCACTTCAAGCCCTTGGTGAAGTCGGAGTCGTTCTCAGCACCGAGAAACGCAGGTGCCGCGAATCTGTACGGCTCCTGCTGGGACCTGTACTTTGCGAAGATATCATAGAACATCGATGTCCACCTACGGGGGGCGCCGTTCCTCTCTGCCCCCCAGCACGCACACGAGAGGATGAGGAATAGAAAAAATATGCGGAGGAGGAGGAGGAAGGCGAGGATACACATACATACATATATGTACATATAAATAAATAAATAAATAAATGCTAGTATAGAAGCAGGAGGAGGAGTAGGAAACGGTGGAGGGAAGAGGTGGCAGAGGAGAAGGATGCGGAGGAGAACGAGGATATAGATTAGAGGAGCGAGGAGGAGGAGGAGGATGGCGCGCCCACCTGAACGGGAACTTCTTGCTCTCTGCAGAGCCCACGCGCATCACAGCGCCATTGGTGCGGACCTCGGGGTTCAGGTGGTCGTCGGAGTGCTTGCACGTGCTGCCGCAGAGCGCCACCCACCACGGGGAACCAGCAAACCTCACTGGCATGCGCTCGGCGAGTTCCATCTCACCTGCAGCATAGTTGCACATTGCGTCCTGTCCAACTCTGATGCGGTGCTCCCGACACAGCGCGCGCCACAAAGGAAATGACCACAGCGCTGACTGGCACGGGTTCGCAACGACGAAGTGCACCTTGCGCCTGATGCACACCAGCGCCAGGAAGATGATCCTGCGCAGCACTATGTTGGCCTGCGGGCAGGGCGCGCGATCACTCTGAAAAATGAGGATGATGAGAAAGCAGGAGGAGAAATAAGGACGACGAGGACATGGGATTAGGGAAACAGGGGGCATGCGGAGGATAGCGAGGGGGATGGAGTGGCCCGCAGCGGGCGAGTGAGGAATCAGGAGAAGCACGTCGGCGAGGCAGGGGGGGGGAGGGGGAGGAGGAGGAGGAGGGGGACAATCAAGAGGACGTGGACTCTCCTTCTCCCTCCTCTTCCATCGTCGTACCCTCTCCTCTTCCGTCCTTCCCCCCTCCATCCCTTCCTCCATCCTCGAACGTCCACTCATGTATATCTGTCTCGTGAGGGCCCACTCCGTTTTCATATGATCAGATGTGTGTTTCCGCGAACGACCCCCCGTTGCACGGCCCACAATCGAAAACGGCAGCCAAGGCGTTGTTAGAGATTGGTTTTGATCATAGACCCCATGAGTTGGATGGATGGTGCGATGGATGATGATGTTGATGATGTGCACACTTTTCAACTGCAAACGGCAGCGGGCCTCCCGTGGCCGCCATCTGTCTATGCGGCCAGCCGCGCACGCTTGGCAGCCCTGGCCATGTCCCGAAATTCCTGCACAATGTCAGCAGGAAGGGATGCTACAGTGCCTGGCGCTGGCACCTCGCGGCTCGAGACGGGTGCTCGGATATCGGCAGCGACATGCGTGGCGATCAGTGTCGGGTTATCGGTTTCATTCGGTGAGACATTGAGGATCTGTTTCTTATCTTTGGCCGTTGTCCTGAACACAACCGTTGAAGCACCGCTGTGTCCTGCGACCACTTGAAGTTGAAGATGGTTTTTGCCAGCTGCCAGCGCAGGAACATCATCCTCCTGGGCAGGGGGGGCAGCAGCTGGCCGCTTGGCTGCGTCCTTGTCTGCAGCAGCTGGCCTGCGCTTGGCGGGTCTGTGCTCGAGCTCCTCGCCATCCTCCTCATCGACCGTCGCCATCTTCTTCTTCTTCCCATCGGGCTGAGGCGGGATGACCTTGGCGTCGCCGATGGTGCCGTCCTCCTGGAGCCTCGAGTTAACGAATGTCGTCTCGTACTGGTCGTCTGCACCCCAAGAAGCAACGATGAATCCCGAGTCGCCTGCCACAGCGCTCGTGGCTGGCACATATGCACCGTCAGCCAGAAGCTTGACCATCGTGCCATTTTTGAGGAGGATGTCCACGACCTGCTTGTCATCGCTGGCTTCCTCTGGATCGAGGACGGTGACCTCGGGGGCGTCGCCCTCTAATGGCGGGAGGGTCTCCGAGCCCGAATCCTGTATCGAAACTGCTTCTGGCCCTGGCGAACCAGGGGCCTCCACTGAACGCACTGATGACGAACTGCGCATGGATGGGCTGCGCACAACGATGCTCTGGTCAGCTGCTCTATCCGATTCCAAGGGTTCGGGGAGGCGGAATGCTGGAAACGGGTTGGGCCTCCAGGTGCTGCCCGAAGACGCCAAGCCAGCGTAGGTGCGTGGTCGGTCAATCGCGGGCGTCGGCATGCCCATGATAGCAGGTCCACGGCAGCGCTGGCCGATCTCCATGGCAATGTAAATACGACGGAGCCCTTCTGGATGACACGAAATGTTGGAGTCGATGTTGTCCCTCCCGTGCTTTGCGATCAGACTCATCCACTGTGCAAACTTGATCCGGCAATGCAACAACATCACTCTGTAAAGATACCCCAGTTTTGTATGCATGTCGGCTTCGCTCTTCATGGTCTGGGGAACGACATGCAATTCTGATATGCACCATGCTGGGTGAGGGGGGAGGCGGGGGGGGCCCTTCGGACACGGAGAACCCCGATCCGAAACCGACGAAGACGGGATACGGGCGGCACGCACGAGCAGGGAGAGGACGAGCTGGTGAGCAACAGCATATGCATATCACATGCATGGGCCTCGGCTGCCAGCTTGCGAACCTTGATGCAGGCGCTCACGTTGCGCAGCATGCACAACTTGATGCCCGACACGATGTCACCCTGATGGAAGAAGCCTCCCCTGGGATCGATCTCCATGAGAGCCGCGAGGGTTTTGCTGCACGAGTTGAGGTAATCAGTGCGTATACCGTTTTTCATATCGTTTGAAGGGTACTCGCCCTTCGCAACATGGTCAATAGTGAGGCCTATAGCCTTGCATATCTCCTCTGTCCCCTCGACGCCTGGCGATGGCTTCCAATATGGAGTGCGGTACCGAACGCTGCGCGCGCTCGATTCCATCGAGCGGCCTGGTGGTCGACCAGACCTTCTGAGCCAAAATGGCTACGGATGCACAGGTTATGCAGATGGATGCGGTTGGGGAAGGGGTGGGATCCAGGGCCCCCCCCCTGTGTGGTATTTCGAATTCGCATCCTGGCGGCCACGAGCACGAACCCCTCCTCTCACGCATTCGAGATGGCAGACCCCCCTCATAAAACGGTTTCCGAACATGTTCCAAAGTAGTGTTTTTTGGATGCAATGCCCTTTCGACGTTGTGGCTTTGGGGTTTGCGGAGCGGGGCAATGGATGCGATGAGGGCCTCGCATACATCATGTGCATCATTACTTGTATCAGGAAATGCGGGGAGGGGGGGAGCTCCTCCCCGCATTTCCTGAAATTCAGCTTCGGAATCTAGATTTGGAAGACGCAGGGGGACACGAATAGTGTGAGACGGACGGGCAGGGGGGGCGTTGCGAAACGGGTCGATGAGCTCGAGACGACGACCGACGAGCAACAGCGCAAGGACATGTTTCCTCGGTCGGTCACGGTGCCTCCCCCGAAAATTTCCGCACTATGATTCCGATGGTTCCGACGGGCCCGAACCGCAGTGCGGAATCGTAGTGCGGAAGTTTTCGGGAAAGGGAAAGTGGAGATGATAACTGAGATAGATGGTGAGAGCAGCGCTGCCTGGCGGACGCCCTCGATCGCGGCGTTGCCCTCCGCGCGCGGCCCTGGGTCGCCATCCGGCCCGTCGGCAGTCCTGTCGGCTAGAGGGGGGGGGGGGATCGTGATGAATGTGGGCTTCTGTTGGTCATGGTTTTTGGGCGAGGCTGAGGTGGGGGAAATGAGGGAGGCGGGCGGAGGAGGATGAGCGATGAAAAACAGGAGAGGGAGGGGGTGATGAAGGACGAGGAGAAGGAGGCGGAGGAAGAAGAAAGATGAGGAGCAGGAGGAGCAGGGTGCGAAGCAGGAGGTGAAGGAACAAAATCAATGTCCTCGCCGCCACGTCGCGATCTGCATTCTCGATCATCCAGAACGTGCTCTGCGGGCGGAAGAACACGAGGCCGTTCTCCTGCACGGCCAGCACCGCCCTCGGGATGCAACGGCAACGAATCAGCACCGTCTGTAATCTGTAATTCCGTATGTAACCTGTAATTCCGAATGTAATCTGTAAGTCAGAAGTAAATTACAGACGGAATTACAGATTACAGACAGAATTACAGATTACAGACAGAATTACAGATTGTCGATCTAATTACATAGTACGTATTGACTTATCAATTACATCATAATTTATATATTACACACGGAACTCAAACTTACAAACAGAAATATAGATTACAGACAGAATTGCAGATTACAGTCGAAATTACATATTACATATAGAATTACATATTCCAGATATAATTACAGATTACATATAGAATTACAGATTACAGACGAAATTACAGATTACAGACGGAATTACAGATTACATATTGATTTACAAACTAATTACCATATAATTACATATGGTACGGATTGTCAATTTGTTACCTAGAAATTATAACAACAATATGGAATTACATATTACAGATGTAATCTGTAATTCCATTTGTAATCTCAGACATCACATAAAAAAAAACATGTAACATATAAAAAAGGTATGGTGAGACGTTCGCCCTCAGAACCTGACGGCGTCGTCCCACTGCTCGCGTCGCGCGAGCTGCTCCACGGGGCCGCACCGCTTCACGGCGCAGCCCAGGGAGCCAGCGTACCGCGCCAGCATGCTGAAGTCGTGCGTGAATTCGACCGGGCTTTCCTCCTCCTCCTCTCGGCATCAAAACTGGGAGCTCGATCGTATGAGTATTTTTTCCGTTTTCCGCATCCTCCTCCTCCTCTTCCATTTTTGTCCTTATTCCTGATCCTTCCCCTCTTCACCCCCTCCTCCTTTTTCCCCCTGACTCATCCTTCTCCTCTAAAGAGATCGAGCTCCCAGTTTTGATCCATATTCCTCATCCTTCTCCTCCCTTCTCCTCCCTATCCTCCTCTTCTTCTCCTCCCTCTCCTCCTCCCTTCTCTTCCCTCTCCTCCTCCCTGCCCTCCTCCCTTCTCCTCCTGCCCCTCCTCCGTCATGGCACGGTGGGTTGTCCCCCTCCTTTATTCTCCTCCCTTTCTTCCTCTCCTCCCGACTCATTTTTCTTCTTCTCCTCCTCACTCTCCTCATGAATCTCCTCACTGTCTCATGAATCTCTCTGGACGTTTCGGCACGCATTAATAGACGGGGACCACGTCCAACGTGCTGCCGCGAAACTCGCGGCGCGCCACCATGTCGACGGTCTCGCCGAACATCGAGAGCTGTTCGACGGACATGGTGGCCAAAAACGCCCCGCTCGGGGGCGTGGCCCCCAGGGGCCAGGGTGGTTTGAGCCGACGTGCGGACGACAGAACCGAGGGCCTATGGCCCTGCAAGCCCCCCGTGCTTCATCTGTAAGCCCCCATGCTTCATCTGTAAGCCCCCCGACTCTACAATAAAGTAGCATAACCCGAACTACTAAAATTTATCATGCTGATATATATTATATTTTAGTTGCGGCTAAACTATTTTTTTTAGTAACTTCTATTTTTTTAGTAGATCTTCTAAATTTTAGGTAACGACTAATAATTTGCCTGTTCTGTCTCTCTGGGGAGCCCAGAGCGGCCTCCGGCACCGTTTCCGGACAGATCCGCTGGATCCGCTGGATCCGCTGGATCCGGTGACGAATCCCAAACCGGCGCCCTCGCTTGAGACATCCTCACAAAA